TCACTGTTGGTTGGTCCTGCTGCTTCGTCGGCGTCTGCGCCCGAGGCCCCCATTTGGCCTTGGGGGTCAAGTGCGCCCTGCGCAACTGCGCCTCTTCGCGCCTCCCACCAGCAGAGCTCCCACTCGCAGCGCTTATCGGCGGCGGCGGCCGATATTCCCGCGAGGAGCTTGACGACTGCGGGGAGGCCTCGCGCGGCGGTCGCTCGGGGCTTCCGCTACTGCGGTCCTCCGTCGGCTCCGCGACTGCGGCATCCGCGGCAGCCCCTTGCAGGCCGAACCTTTCCCGCAGTTGCTGATTCAGCTCGGCGAACCGCTTGTCGACCTCGGCTTTGCGACCTGGGTCCATGGCGTGGCCGCGCGCGGCCCCCGTCCGACGGGGGAACTGCGGCCGGCTTGGGAGAGGAACGGCAACGAGGGAGACGGCGGGGATGAGGACGAGGATGCGAAGAGGAGGATGGAGAGGACGCGACGGAAGAGGATGGCGCGAAGAGCTCAGACGAGGGTGAAAGGAGCAAGGGGACTGCGACGAGGATGACGGGGCAGAAACGGAGGAGGAGGAATCAACAACGTCCGCAACTGCGGCCCTCGGGGGGGACTGCGACGAGGACGACGGGAAATGACTCGGCCAACGGAGGCGGGCTACGGCCAACGGAAGGAACTGCGACGAGGAGGAAAGGCTGAGGGAGGAGACTGCGACGAGGACGACGGGGAAGGGGCGACGAGGACGACGAACAACTGCGGATCCATCTGTTTAAGTACCTGTCTCCGCAACTGCGGCCGCGCTAATTAACGTCACGAGTGCTTCAACGGAGGTGATGCGCGCCCGAAGCACCTAATTACAGCGGTCAGTCGTGGGAGCGCCGCAACTGCGGCCAAGCTGTATGAAGTCGCTAGAAGGCAGCGCCGCAACTGCGGCCGAAAGCGCGCATAGTGAGTCAAACGAGCGCGGCGTCACGCGATCGGTCCCCGCAACTGCGGTTCCATGGCTGCGCAATCCCGCAACTGCGGTGTCAAGGCTGCGCGGACCACCGCGGTTGCAGCTGCGCCCCCTTGCTCGCGTCGAACCGCCCAGGATTCGGATGGGCGTGCAGCATCTTCCAGAACGTGAACGTTCCGTGGCCATCGCTCTTGCCGAGACCTGCCCTCGGGCCCCGCACGGGATGCGAGTGCGGCTCCACCTCATACGTGTTGAACTTCGGGCTAGACCAGGATGGGTGGACGCGAATGCCCGAGCCGTCGTCGCGGATGAGGACGAAATCCCACTGGGGCAGAGGGATTCTTTGCGCCTGTCCTCTGTCCACCCCTTTCGTGTGCCTCATGTTGTCGAGACTGCTAGGGCACGGGCGGCACTCGCAGCGGACCAACCCGCGACTGCGGTCATTGTCAGGGCCGCACACGACGCGCAGCATTGTAGGTCCATCCATCTGCGCGACCATCTCCAGCCAAGACCACGGCACTTTGACAGTGTGGTCCCAGTCCCAATCCCTGTTGTCCTGCGCCTTCCCCTTTGCGCGGTACTTAAGGATCTTCGAAATTTCCTCCGCAACTGCGGTACCTCCGAAGACGGGCGTGCGGCTGCCGAAAGGGTTTTCTCGGTCTTCGTACTCGTCTCGGAACCACTTCAAGGCCGCGTTGTGCTGCTTATAATTGCCGTTCCAGTTCGCCCTGAAGTTCTCGAAGAATTCCAACTTGAAAATTGGCAGCGGCTCATTGCGCACAATTTGAAACAGCGCAACTGCGCCTTGTTCTTCGCGCCCTGGGGGAAGCAGGGGACCGCCTCCTTTGCCCGCCGCTGTTGCGGCCGCGGGCTCCGCGGCAGGAGAACCTGCCGAGGCACTCGAGCGGCCACCTTCCCATGCATTCCACCAGCCACCCTCGTCGTCCCACCAGCGGGCGCCCTCCATTCCCCAACCCTCGCATCCGTTGCCGCCCCATCCGCCGCCCTCCCATCCGCGACTGCGGTCACTTCCGTCGCCGCCATCCTGCGCTTTTCCTCTCCATCCGCCAAGAGAATCTCCGCCGCCCCAGCCGCCACTGCGGTCACCTCCGCCGCCGTATCCGCCACTGCGGCCGCCCCAACCCCCACTTGTTCCCCAACCGCCGCCGCTGCTCTTTGAAGAATCCGCAACTGCGGCCCGTGTTTCCTCTTCCGCTTTGTCATCCCACCCTGCACGCATCTCTGCCCCGACTGCAGGCCGCGGAGGCGGGCGCGAGCCCGCCCAACCGCCGTGAAACCTACCGTCGGCGCGGGCTTGAGCCGAACGTGCATGGAGGAGGAGGATGAGGAGGAGGAGGGTGAATGTGAGGAGGATGATGCGTTCCTGGGAGGTGTGCCTTCGCGTGCAACACAAGAGCCCTGAGAATTCCTGAGGCCCCTCCAACAGCCAAGGACGCGGATGACAAGAAAGTCGAGAAGATTGGGAACCGATTGAGGATTAAGAGGCGTGCGACGAAAGGGATGATGATGACGAAGAGGAAGATCAGTGAAGGGGAGGAGCGGACAGGAATTATGGAGGAGTGATAGCAGAGGAGGAAGAGGGGGAAGGGGGAGGAGGAGGAGGAGGAGGAGGAGGGAGAGGAAAAGGGGGAGGAGGAGGAAGAAGGTGAGGAGGAGGAGGGAGAGGAGGAGGAGAGGAGGGAGGAGGAGGAGGAGGAGGAGGAGGAGGAGGACGACGACGACGAGGAGGAGGAGGAGGAGGAGAGGGAGAAGGAGAACGGGGACAGGAGGACAAGGACGGAGAAATATAACAAATGAGGGGGAGGAGGCGGAGGAGGAGGAGGACGAGGAGGAGAAGCAGGAAGAGGAGGAGGAGAGGGGGGAGGAAGAGTGCGCGTGAGACTGGGAGAACGAGGTAATTAATTAGAGAGGGAACGGGGGAGGAGGGAGGACAAGGAAGAGCATACAGCGACGAGAAGAGGAGAAGGAACAGACGTAGGCTCCTGCTGATCGCATTTCCGCATCGTTCAAAGCAGTGCCGGGGCACTGCTTTGAACGACTGGTGATGTTCAAAGCAGTTCCCCGGCACTGTGTTCCATCGTCGCCGTTATAAGGGCTTTCGGATTACCTCCGTGCCTTCCGCACGAAATCTTCGGGGGCTGCTTACAAGGTGCCCCTGGCCCAGGATTCCCTCTGCTTCTCGCTCAGCTGTAGAAGCCTTGGGGCCAACTGAGCCTCGTGAGGGGTGCTCTGGAGGCCGCGGGGTACTCCCTGCGAAATCCTGGGGGCACCTTGGGCCAGGGGCACTTCTAGCAACACCCGAGAAGTGGAGTGCCCCAAGGCTGAGACAGCTCTTCCCGAGTCCTAAAAAGGGCTTGCAGGGTGTGGGATTGCAAGATTCGTCAGTGCCCCGACCCAAAACTCCATGCAATTCCTGAGCTTTCCTGGGATTCCCCGCGCGACTCTGCCCGAGACTGGGAAGCGCCAAGACGGCCAAAGAGAAGCCCAAAGAGGGCCCCAACACACGATTCAAGAGAGCATGGAGGCGGCCAAACATGGCGGACGACCCAAAAATCTTCAAAGGGTCCCAGGAGGCCCCCAAGTCACCCCAAGAGGGCCCCTGGAGGGCCCCAAGAGACTGAAAACAAAACAAGTATTCACCTGCCCAACGGGCCAGAGGCGTGCTGAAATCTCTGGTAAGAGAAAGAATGTTTCTAGTTCGCAAGCGCGTGGCGGCCCCTGGGGGTCCCCAGACGAGAAGTACCCCGAGCGCATTCCACTACTCGCAAAATAACTACTCGCAAATGGCCTAGATCCGCCGCGGGGGATCTACGGTAAATCTCGTCGAACGAAACACATGCTTTTCGGACGTTTGCGAGTAAGCACTTTGCGAGCAATGGAACGCGCTTGGCCGGCAGGGTCCTGGCAAGGTCGGGCCAGAGATGTCGGAACTCCCGGGCAGTGCCCCGGGGGCCCCCTGGGCGCCCCAAGGACGGCCTCCTCCCACGACCCAGGGACGGTGGCAGAATGGGCCGAAGGCCACCAGATCCGCCGCCCCCTGCTTGCAGGGGTGCACGGCGTGCTGGACGATTCAGGTTTTGGTTTTGGTTCTTTTTCTAAAAGAACTCCCCAGTGGGCTTCGGCCCGTCCCGCCGGCCACCCGTCAATCTCACAAAACCCATCTGTCAATGCCCAAAAACGGCCGTTTCGCTCGGGACATCCTCAAAAAATCGCGAAGATGGCCCAAGATGGCCTCCAAGTCCGCCCGAGATGGTCCAAGACGGCCTCCAAAACGGCCCAAGAGAGTCCAAGACGGCCCAAGACGGCCCAAGAGGCCCCCCAGAGGCCTCCCAGACGGCCCAAGAGGCCTCCAAGAGGTCCTCCAGGAGAGTCCGAAGAGGCCAAAATCATTGATTTTCCTTGGTTTTTGAAGGATTTTGGCATTTGCGCCTTTTCGGCTCTCCGACGGCTCAAGACGGCCCAAGAAGCCCCATAGGAAAAAAAAAGGAAACAAAAAAAGTAAAAAAGTAACAAGATCGCCCAAGAGGCCCCCAAGAGAGCCCCCTGATGGCCCTAGTGGCCTCCAAGATGGCCCCTATAGGGCCCCAAGACGGCCCAAGAGGCCTCCAACACGCCCAAGATGGCCTCCAAGACGCCCAAGATGGCCTCCAAGACGGCCCTGGAGCATTCCAAGCGGGCCCCAAGTCGGCCCATAGAGGCCCCCCAAACGGCTTCCGACGGCTTCAGACGTGCCAGGAACCCACCAAGATGGCCGAATTTGGCTCGAAGCTGGCCCGAGACGGCCCAAAACGCCCCAAAGATCGCCCAAAGCTTGCCCAAGAGGCCTCCAAGACGGCCAAGATGACCTTCAAGATGCCCACGTGTTCCCCGAAGGCTTTCCAAACCGATTCGGGGAACACGTGGTCCGATAGCTTGGCAGGTCTGGCCTCAACGTTCGGCCACATAGGCGCTTCCAAAAAGGCAGGGGGCGGCGGTGATTCGCCGTAGGCGTCTTCGATACGTGAACAAGCATCCCCCCCACCAAGAGAAAGCGACGCCTCGCCTTCCAGGTCAGGGCAGTCCGCGAAAGTCGTGATCTGTCTGGCGGCGATGCGTTCGCTGCCGCGCAAGCTTGTGTGAGAAGTCAGTTCCCCCCTCGCGCACAAGCAGCCCCCTCTACCGTTCTGATCCAACTGGGCATTGTCCAAAATACTGAACTGAATTGCAACTAGAAGAAACTGTAACTTGGTTGCGTTCTCAATTCGCTCAAGTGAGCTGATGCCAGGCGTGGACAGACCTTGACCCTGGAACTGGCTATTATCCCTTGATGCCCAAAAGGATCACCCAAAGGTGTATCCGTGGAAGGGGGTATGTCCAAGCAGTCAGATGTGCAAATTCGACTCCCTGTTTTACCCTGTTCGGCTCTAACCTGCTTGCGTGGGACTCTCCCCTGATTCGCATACTGCGTGTGGACTGCCTGACGTCCCATTCGGAAGAGCGAGGACTCTTCTTCGGGTCGCGCTGGGTTCATCCAAACTGCGTCCTGACGTGGCAAAGCTGCCACGCGAGCGCTCGAAAAGAACAAGGCCAAGAACAAGCTGGTATTAGCATCGCGCTGAATTCCAGTATTGCGCTGGTACAACATCGGGATCGGATCCACTTGTCTCCACCTCATTCTCGTCACCCTTACTCCTCCGCTCCATCTTGGTCAGATCAATCCGTCCACCTTTTCTTTGTCTCTCCTCCCACGCCTCCGTCCTCCTCCCCCCCCTCTGGCAGTATCAGAAGTAAGTTCTCTGATCGCCAGTCTCACTTGCGATCGATGTGACGTGCAAGAACAGACGCACTCGTGCCTCGATGGCTCCCCCTCTGTGAAAAAGCTCGGCGAACGGACGCACGGCAGGGAAGCGACACAGCTGGGCAGCAGGGGCGATGGCAAGCTGGGGAGATGGGGGAACCAGAAGGTGCCGATACTGCTACTCCCCTGACCGCTCCCAGGGTGCGCTCTGACCAGGATTTCGAGGCGAATCCAGCGGTGGCGATGTGAGGGCCTGCCAGGAGGCCCAACAAAACGACACGGGGCGACGAGCAGCAGCATGGACACCTCCGTCCTCCTCTTCGAGGAGTGGCGGAATCCCTGACCTGGCGTTCGCGGAAGATCCGCTGCAGCGAGGCGAGACGACCACCGTTAGGTCGGGCATGTCCTCTTACAGGCGGGCTTTGGACGAAAAACGAAAATATCAAAAGATAACCAAACATGCTCAAAAATAAGCGAACATATCGTTCCCAGATTTACTGTTTGACCATTTCTGAAGATTCCTCCTGCAGAGGGGCATGCCCGACTTAAGACCACCGCTCGCCTGCCCAGCCGCCAGGCCCCGGCGCCGAATAGGGCGACATGCCTGACCTGGCGTTCGTGAAGGGACCCTGGGACACACAAATAAACACACACACACAAATAACAGGATTCCCCATAGTTTCTCATATTTTCTGAGTTTTTGTCTTCCCCCCACTTCCCATATTTTCCTATATCTCCTGGGGAGTCGACGATGAATTGTGTGTGTTTTTCCCCTCCTGAGTTCGCGAGAGCTCTGCTGCAGCGAGGCTGGAGAAGCCAAGAGGCACCGACACCGCTGCTCCCCGGACCTCTCCCGGGGCGCGCTCGGACCGGGCCCTCGAGGCGAACCCGGCGGGGGCGGCCACGGAGGCCCAGGAGGCCCGAAAAGGGGGGAAGACGAGGGGAGGGCAGAGGTGTGGGCGCCTCTCCCTCCTGCGGAGGCGCGACGACCACCGCTCGCCTGTCCAGCCGCCAGGCCCCGGCGCCGAAGAGGGCGTCGAGGGTGCGCCCCAGGCCGGCGCGCAGCTCCGCAAACGGCGCGGACTCGAGGAGCCTGTGGCACGGGTGCCCCCCCGTGGGCCGAGGGGAGGGCGACGAGGAGGCGGAGCCGGGAGCAGCTGCGAGGCGGGCAGATGTGTCCACAGCCACGTCGCCTCCTCCTCCTCCTCCTCCTCCTCCTCCTCCTCCTCCTTTTCCTCCTCCTCCTCCTCCTCCTCCTCCTCCTCCTCCTCCTCCTCCTCCTCCTCCTCCCCCTCCTCCTCCCCCTCATCCGTCCCAAAACCGTGTGGTCACCCCGAGTCCCGGAAGCAGAGCCAGAGGCATCTGCGAGGCGGCGAGGTGTCCATAGCCACCGCCTGGGAACCGACGTTCTGGTGCCCCAGCGGGCAACGGATACCCATTGGTCGGAAAAAATAAGTCGAAACATGAAGTAAAACGGCGTTGAAAGTAGATCGGGTCTCCGCCCGCCTCCTGAAGAGGGAGGACGAGAGAAAACCACTCGACTCCTGAAGCTGGAAGGCGCTTAAAGAAGGTTGGGATCAGGGGCTCCAAAAATACCTACTGTCAACAAGCGATGGGTACGGATATAAGTTGGCCCCCAGGGGCCCAGATAGATCCACATCTGCCGCCCGTGGAGGTCGGCGAGGATCGATCCGCTAGGCGGTGGCACTGGACGGATAAGCCCCGCCTCGGAGCGTCCGCCCCTGGCCGTCTGGCCGCCGCTGCTGCAAGCCATCCGCCTCTCCTCGGGGTGTCTCAACACGGTGCGGCGGCAGGCCGGTGCGGTGACCTCGGAAATACGAAAGAACCCACGCCGCACGGTCAGCCACCACACGGTCTTGGGACCCTCTGAAGCCGCCCTCTCCTCCTCCTCCTCCTCCTCCTCCTCCTCCTCCTCCTCCTCCTCCTCCTCCTCCTCCTCCCCCTCCTCCTCCTCCTCCTCCTCCTCCTCCTCCTCCTCCTCCTCCTCCTCCTCCTCTCCTCCTTCCCTCCTCCGCCTCCTCCTCCTCCTCCTCCTCCTCCTCCCTCGCTCCTCCTCCTCCTCCTCTCCGCCTCCTCCTCCTCCGCCTCCTCCTCCTCCTCCTCCTCCTCCTCCTCATCCTCCTCCTCAAGCTCCTCCTCCTCCTCCTCCTCTCCTCCTGCCTCCTGCGTCCTGCTGATCCTGCTCCTGCTCCTGCTCCCTGCTCCTAGCTCCTGCCTCCTGCTCCTGCTCCTGCTCCTGCTCACTGCTTCCTGCTCCTTCTCCTGCTCCCTGCTCCTGCTCCTGCTCCTCTCCTCCTCCTCTCCTCCTCCTCCTCCTCTCCTCCTCCTCCCCTCCTCCTCCTCCTCCTCTCCTCCTCCTCCTCATCCTCCCCTCCTCCTCTCTCCTCTCCTCCTCCTCCTCCTCCTCCTCCTCCTCTCCTCCTCCTCCTCCATCCTCCTCCCCCCCCCCTCCTCCTCTCCTCCTCGTTCCTCCTCCTCCTCCTCCTCCTCCCTCCTCCTCTCTCCTCCTCCTCCTCCTCCTCCTCCTCCTCCTCCTCCTCCTCCGCCTCCTCCTCCTCCTCCTCCTCCTCCTCCTCCTCCTCCTCCTCCTCCTCCTCCTCCTCCTCCTCATCCTCCTCATCCCCTCCCTCCTCCCTCCTCCTCCCCTCCCCTCGGGCCCCCTCCTCCTCCTCCTCCTCCTCCTCCTCCTCCTCTCCTCCTCCTCCTCCTCCTCCTCCTCAGCCTCCTCCCGCCTCCTCCTCCTCCTCCTCCTCCTTCTCCTCCTCCTCCGTCCCAAAACGGTACGGCCGCCCCGAATCCCCACAAATCCCCACACGGCGTGGTAACCGCACCGTGCGAGGGCCCCCGATCCTCATCCCCTGCCACCCCGCCCACTGGCAAAGACAAGAAGCCTCGTGCATTCGGGAAGTCCAGAGCTGAACGTGGCATCACGTGCCAACGGTTCGTTGTCAAAGAAGCTCATTGCAAAGACTCGTCAGGATGGCTTCTGCGCAGAGCGGACGGCGTGGGACGCCCAAACCTCTCAAGCGCCAACGAACACTTCTAAACCGGTTCGGGACTATCCTGCACTTCCTTCATACGAAGCACACTGAATACGGCCAACCTTTTCAGACACCCTGTTGGGTCCCCCAATGCTGGCACAACGCATATATTGCATCCTTGGGGGCCCTTGTCTGTCCTGTCACGGCCCTATCCGCGTCGAATCCGTGCCGAATCCATGTCGTACTCGTCGGATCCGGACCGAATCCGTGTCGAATCCGCGTCGAATCCACACCAGACCCGCGCCGAGTCCGCATCGAGTCCGCGACGGGCATGAGAAAAGACACCCTTTGGGGGGACAGGCGGTCCCCCGAAAAGGTAACGCAACAGCGCCTCTGCTCATGCCCTCATTCCCTCGCGTGCCCCTTGCGCGTCGGCCCACCCCAGCGGAGATCGAGGCGACCCCTACACAGCTTTCCCTAGGTCGGGCATGTCCTCCTGCAGGCGGATCTTGGACAAAAAATCGTAGATGCCCCAAAAATATGCAACAGTGGTCAAACAATGATCGAAACATCGTCCCCAGACCATGTTCGGACCATTTGGGAATACGCCTCCTGTAGAGGGGCATGCCCGACTTACGGCTACTCCGTGCGGCTTTCCACTCTTCGGGCGGCAAGGCACAGTCGAGCTGCGGCAACGGGAAGCGCGACAAGAGGAACGGGGCCCCACGGTGGCACCAGAAGAGAGCCCCGTCCTGATTTTTTGTACGCCGCGATCACGTCTGGGTAGAAATCCCGACCCCTCCCCCCGGGGCGGGCTTTCCTTCCGAGTCGACGTTTGACGGTCCCGCGGCCGCTGGGGCCCGTCTCGCCACGCGAGCATAGCATGTCAGGGCCTGGGGGAGCCCCAGTTGTCTGGGGAGCGTCCTGGCGCCAGAACTTCGAGGCGCATCCACTTATGGCGACGAGGAGCTCCGCTGGAGCCCCAAAAATCGGCGGCGAGCGAGGGGGGGAAATGAGAAGGAGAAGGCCTTCTAAGAAGGCGGTGGGACTTCTCAGAAGCCCCCGCGCATTCTAAGAAGTTTCTGTTGTTTTCGGGGAAGGCTTTAGAAAACTTCTCAGAAGGCCAGCGGACTTCCGAACCTTCTGAGAAGGCCTCCTCCTTCTCAACTTCACCCCCACCTCGCTCGCCGCCGAAAAATTTGGGGAAAAAGCCCAGGAGCGCGATCCTCGAACCTCGAGGCCGAAAACGGCCGAAGAACCTCCCGCCGCGACGCGAGCGCGTCGGGGCACGTGCATTGCGGGCGGTGCCGGGGGCGGCGAGGAAGGCCCCGGAGCTCCCGTCGGGAGCCCCTTCGGCGTCCGAGCCCCGGCGGCCGCCGAGCGGGCTCGAGATCGAGCCCACTCGGCGGCCAAACGGCCTCGATTCCCACGGACCTGCTGGAATTGAGCCCGCGTTCGGCTGCCCATTCGGCGGCCGCACGGGCTCAGACGCCGAACGGGCTCAGAAGGAAGCCCTGGGAGAGGGTTTCAAACGGTCCGCGAAGTGTGCACTGGATCGGGCCGCGTCGACACGGAACCGACATCGAGACGAATCGGATCAGCTGCGCCAGACTATGCACAGCAACACCATGCAGTCGTTGGGTCACATCACCGGATCGTCGGAATATGTGTCGGAATCGATCGGGCGGGTTGGAATCGACGTCGAATCGGATCGATCGGCTCGTGATGGGCCCTGGTCGGCTACACGTAAGAGTGACCCTGGGTAAGAGTGACCTCTGGTGCGCAGCTTTTGGGGGGCCACGGGGAGGCCAAATCCAGGCGCGCTAGCCGCTGCTGCCGCTTCGCGATCGGCCATCTGGAGGCCCATCTGTGCCCGCACCAAAGGTCACTCCGGCGAAAGGTCACTCGTACGTCTACACCCTGCGAAATGCTTAAGAAATCATGGGTTAAGAAATTCATAGTCTCAGAACTGGAATACAAACCCAACAGTTCTATTAAAATCTTCAGATTTACATTGAAACGTTAAGAATAATCAAGACTCTGGCCGAAAACTTAAGTTTTCTTAAGCATCGCCCAAGGTGTAGTCGACCTGGAGGGACGGCCGCAGGCGGCGGGATGTCGCAGCCCCCCCCGCCCAGCCGCGGCCCGCCAGCGGGCCTCTGCGGTGGAGGCCCGTAGAGCCGGCCGTCGGGCCGGGCCGGGGCCGTCCAGCCGCCGCCGCGGCGCCGCCTCGGGCGCCGACGGGGGGGTGGCGCGCTGCGAAGAGGCGCCCCCCCCTCTCGAGTCGTCATAGCGACGGAAGGGCTTCTCAGTCTTCAACCTCTGGGGGCCCCTTGCCGGGCCTCAGGGCTGTCGAAGCACGGCTCGTGCTGAAAAACGGGCCCTGGGGAAAGGGTCGGGACCTCCATGGGCCCAGTCTTGAAAAACCCAGGGCGTCGCATATCTAGACTGTCCACTGTGCGCAACGCCAGTTGGTGTGAGCGAGCGTGCGTTGTGTGTGTTGCGTGTTGTGTTTGCTGTATGTTGTGTGTGTGTTGTGTGTTGTGTGTTGTGTTGTGTAATGTGTGTGTTGTGTGTGTTGTGTGTTGTGTGTTGTGTGTTGTGTGTTGTGTGTTGTGTTGTGTGTTGTGTGTTGTGTGTTGTGTGTTGAGTTGCGTGTTGTGTGCTGTGTGTTGTGTGTTGTGTGTTGTGTGTTGTGTGTGTTGTGTGTTGTGTGTTGTGCGTTGTGTGTTGTGTGTTGTGTGTTGTGTGTTGTGCTGCGTGTTGTGTGCTGTGTGTTGTGTGTTGTGTGTTGTGTGTTGTGTGTTGTGCGTTGTGTGTTGTGTGTTGTGTGTTGTGTGATGTGTGTTATGTGTTGTGTGTGCTGTGAGTTGTGGTATGTGTGAATGTGCGCTGTGTGTTGTGTGTGTGTGTTTGTGTGTGCGTGTGCGTGTGTGTGTGTGCGTGCGTGCGTGCGTGTGCGTGTGCGTGTGCGTGTGCGTGTGCGTGTACGTGTGAATGTGTGTGCGCGTGCGCGCGTGCGCGGGCGCGTGCGCGCGCGTGCGTGCGTGCGTGCGTGCGTCGGGCAATCGAGGGCACAAGCCCAGCCAGATAGGAACAACTGACCACGGCCTGCACCAGTGGGGGCCCACATGGGCCGCTTAGGGACCTCAGAGCAACGGGAGGAGGTCTGGGTCCAAGGCCCTCCTGAAACCATCTGAAACAAACCATTGTGGAATTTCAGAAATTCCGAAAAGCGGACCCTGATGGGCCACAGGGCCAGGGCAGGCGCGGTCAGATGGGGGGGGGGGCACGATAGGGTGGGCCGCGATTGAAGGGGTGCGACGATAGGGTGGACCACGGTAGGGGGTGCGACGATGGGGAACAACAGCGGGGAGCCACGACAGGGAAGGGGGGACGGTGGGGGGGGCCGAGAATAGGGGAGGCCACACTGAGGGGTGCCAGGGGGGCCAAGCCAGGGGGGCCAAGACCAAAATGGGGCACCACGACGGGGCTCCACGACGGAGGGGGGCCATCTCAGGGCCCGGGCTCCCTCTCTCGGCGGTTGCGGTGTCGTGCAAAGCCCTGGCAGACAAGCGCTTCTCAGGGAAGGAACGACACGACGTCAGCTTCTGCGGTGTCGAAGTCAACCCAAACCCCCGACGTCACGATTATTTCATGACGTCGACCCCTAAAAGGTTTCGACCTCTTCCCCGGGACCGGTTTCTCATCCTGAGCCGTTTTGACGGCCCCAAGGACGGGTAAGGGCCCCCCGAGGCCAAAAACAGCGAGAAGCCTCCCGTCGTGACTTTTTGCCCACTCGAGGGGGTCTGGGAATGGAGCCTCGAGCTCGAAGGGCACGGGGGGGAGACGCAGAGGGCCTCGAAGGGATGGAGAAGGGGTCGGGCAGCGGGCGCATCAGTGGAGCCAGAAGCGGAGACACGCGGGGAAAGCCCGGCAGCAGAGCGTGAGGCACCCCCCGCGGACCGAGGCGCGGACTCCAACCGGATGCGCTCGGCCTTCCCAGACCCCCTCGGGGCGGGAGCGGCAGCGGGACCCTGGGGCAGAAGGGACACCGTGGACAACGACGAGGGAAAAAGCGAGCGACGAGGGGCGAGGACTGAGGAGGAAGAGGAGGAGGAGGAGGAGGAGGAGGAGGACGAGGAGACAGAGCGGTACCCAGACCCCCTCGAGCAATGAATAAATCATCACGGAAGGTTTCTTGCTATTTTCGGCCTCTGGGGGCCCTTGCTGGGCCTCGGGGCCGTCAAAAGACGGCTCCGGATGCAAAACCGGTCCCGGGGAATGGGTCCAGACGGCTGGGGGTCGACGTCATGAACAAAATCATGACGTCGGGGGTCTAGGAGGCACGGAAGCCAACCGGATGCGCTCGGCCTTTGCGGCTTCTTGTGCACCGTCTCGGCGGCGAGCCGAGAAGGGACGCGAGAGGGGGGGGAGGCCGTCTCCCCAGGAAGCGGCGCGAGGCTCCTCAGAATGGGACGCACAGGGACATACTAATACTATATGTCCTCCTTGGAGGCGCGCGTCCGAACCGAACATATAGTATACCCATCTTGTAGTATATCGTTTCCGGTGTGGCCAGAAAGCGCCCGCCACGACGCATATACTATAAGACTTCTCGGTGCGCGCGTCGCCCCTGAGGGGGCGACGCACATGTAGTGAAAGTATGTTGGGGTGGCACCGATCAGAAGCCCTCCAGCCTTTCCTTCTGAGAAGCGTTCTGGAGACCCGACGTCGTGTTTTTTTCAATACGGGGTCCCCGGAAGGGTCGACCCCTCCCCCAGGACCCGTCTTTCGTCCCGAGTCCTTTCTTGACGGTCCCGAGGCCAGGCGAGGTCCTCTAGAGGCCGAAGACGGCGAAAGACCTCCGTCTTGATCTTTCCCATGCGCTGGACCTCTGGGCGCTGCGGCGGACAAGGCTCCGACAGCTCCTCACGAAGGCTGGAGGCCCTCGAGCCTCGTCGCCCCCAGGCGCGCCTCCGACCGATACGCGCATGCCCCAGGCTCGGGGGGGGTGCTTCAGTCAGGTCGGGCAGGTCCTCCTGCAGGCGGACCTGGGGCGAAAAGTAACAACTACTCAGAAAGTACTCAAAACTACAACTGCTCAGAAAGTTGCTGAAGTCAGGTCGGGCATGTCCTCCTGAAGGCGGATCTGGGGCGAAAGACAGCAACTACTCAGAAAGTCCTCAAGACTACCCTGGCGAAGAGCCCAACCCATCCTACACGCGCGGAAAGTATCTACAAGGCCGCTCGATGCACAAGGACTCGTTGGGGTTCGCAGTGCCCCGGAAAGAATCGCCGGAGAAAATCGGACCTGGCTCAGCACGCAGGCACGCGACTCAAATCACGCGCGGAGGTTAGCAATGCACGCGGCGCGGAGCACCAGGGCGGGGACTGAGGGAGCAGGAGGAGGGGATACCTTGAGGAACGATGAATAGCTCCAGCGCAGCGCGCGGAAGGCCAACTCCCTATGGGGCAACGGAACGTGTGAGGGGTGTGCCGACATGGACCCGAATACGTATGCGGGCCCTGCCTCTGGGGCCTCCGCTGGCGCTCCAGCTGGGGCCACGAAGGGTCTCCTCTGGGGCCTTCGGTGGAGCTCCCTATGGGGTGACGAAACGTGTGAGTGGTCTGACGATATCGGCCCGAGTACGCATGCGGGCCCTGCCACTGGGGCCTTCGGTGTACGCATGCGGGCCCTGCCACTGGGGCCTTCGATGGAGCTCCCTATGGGGCCACGAAACGTGTGAGGGGTGTGCCAAAGTGGACCCGAGTACGCATGCGGGCCCTGCCTCTGGGGCCTTCGGTGGAACTCCCTGTTGGGCCACGAAACGTGAGGGGTGCGCCTTCCGAAATGGTGGTGGTGATGATTGCGGTGACGATGATGACAGTGATGATGATGATGATGATGATGATGATGATGATGATGATGATGATGATGATGATGATGATGATGATGATGATGATGATGATGATGATGATGATGATGATGATGATGATGATGATGATGATGATGATGATGATGATGATGGTGATGGTGATGGTGATGGTGGTGGTGGTGGTGGCGGTGAGGAGGAGGAGCAAGAGAAGGAGGAGGAGGAAGAGGAGGGGAGAAGGAGAGGAGAGGAGGAGGAGGAGGTGGGGCGCGGCGATGCGAATTAAAAACGAGGACCCAACACACAGGAGGGTTGGGAAATAGTCAAAAATAGTTTAAAATCGCCCCTGCTTTTTTTGACTATTCTTGAATATTCCTCCTGTAGAGGGATAGGCCCGACAACGTGCCCCTGGCCCAAGGTATCCCCCAGCTCTCCGCTCCACTTCGGAGCCCCCTGTGACCCCCTGGGCCTCGTGCGGGGTGCTCTGGAGGCCCTTGGTGGCCTTCCTGAAAATGCATGGGGGCGCCTTGGGCCAGGGGCACTTCTGGCAACACCCGACAGACTTAGAAGAAGAACAAACGGCACAAACATAAACTTTTGGCGCTCCGCGCGGATCTCTTGGATCTGCGCTGTCCCCCCCCAGCGGCGCCTCTGGCGGCTGAAGACAGATCGAGAGGCTCTGAGAGCCGGCGGCTCTGGAGGATGTAATTATGAGGCGTCGCGTCCTCCTCGGGAGCGTTTTAGAAGGCTTTGAGAGCGTTCTGGAACGCTCTGGAACAGATTCATCCTCGTCCCGGCCCCGTCCGAGCGTGCGCTCCTGCACCCGCGCACTCCCAAGAGAAATGATGAGTGATCACAGTTTGCCCTCTCCTCGGCACCTGGAAGTCAGCCCGCTGCTTGCCACACTGTTTCACCTCCTCGCCTCCACAGCACAGACAGCCAGAATACACCGATAGATGATGCGCGCGACCTGGTCATCTTTTAGCAGCCAGCCCTGCGGGTTCCCCCCGACCCTCCACGCAGTGGTCAGGACGGCCTGACGCTCCAGGCGGTGCCCACTGGCCGGACCGAGGCCGCCGCTCCAAGCGGTGCTCCCTGGCCAGGTCCTCCCACAGCATCGCGTGCAGCCTGCCTGGCGCCAGCGGCCGCAGCGCACAGCGCGGCCGACGAGGCGCGGCCGCCCCACCACCCGGTGGCCCGACCACCCTGACTCCGCCAGTCCTCCGATCCGCTCGGCCGCGCGTCGACAGGGCCCAGGAGGAGACAGCAGCACGAGGAGGAGGAGGAGGGAGGTCGGTCGGTCGGACTCGGCATTGCAGCAGTCTGCGCGCCGTTCTGCTGATGGGCTCACACCCCGTGAGCCAGGGGCAACATAACTCTTACTCCGCATAGCCAGGAGGGAGGGGGGAGGGAGGACGGCAAGCAGGCGGGCAGGCAAGCAGCACGCAGACGGGGGCAGCACAGCCGCGGCGTGGGAGCCACCCGCTGCAGCTGGGCGCGCGTGCCGGGGGCAGGGGTGGGGGGCACGGCTCGCTGTGGTGCGGGGTGGCCGCGCGGTCGCCACGGTCTGCACTGGCTCATGTCGGGTGAGCTGAGAGGTACCGATGCCGCCGCTCCCCGGGCCTCTCCCGGGGCGCGTTCGGAGCAGCATTTCGAGGCGAATCCAGCGGTAGCGACCAGGGCCTTCCAGGAGGCCCCCAGAATCAAGTCGGGCGTGTCCCCCTACAGGGGGATGTTCGACGAAAACTAAAAAATACTCCAAGAATGCTCCAAAATGGTCAAAAAATACTCAAAAATAGCCCCCAGACTATTTGACTACTTTTGAGATGTTCCAGGGACAGGCCCGACTTAACCCCAGACGGGGAAAACGAGGGAAGGGTAGCGGTATGGGCACCTTCTCCTCCTCTGACACCTTGCCACGTGAGCCCAGCAGCCAACACTTGGCAACGAAGCACGGGACGAGATGGATCGGGACTTTCGGCCTGTCGGCACGGCGAGGAGGATGGGGAGGATGGAGGAGCAGGAGGAGGAGGATGGAGGAAGAGGAGGAAGAGGAGGAGGAGGAGATGGAGGAAGAGGAGGAGAAGGAGGAGGAGGAGGAAGAGGAGGAGGAGGGGAGGGAAGGAGGAGGAGGAATGGGGAGGATGGAAGGAGGAAGAAGGATTGGAGGATGGAGGAGGAGGATGGAGGAGGAGGAGGAGGAGGAGGAGGAGGGAGGAGGATGGAGGAGGAGAAGGAGGAGGAAGAGAGGAGGAGGAGGAGGAAGGAGGAGGAGGAGGAGGAGGAGGAGGAGGAGGGAGGAAGAGGAGGAGGAGGATGGAGGAAAAGGAGGAGGAGGAGGAGGAGGAGGGAGGAGACGCGGGCGGATCGGCCCCTCGGGCAGCGAAAAAATCATGACGGCAAGTTTTTTGCTATTTTCGGACTCTGGGGGGCCCTACTGGGGCTCAGGACCGTCAAAAACTACTCCGAGTGGAAAAATCGGTCCTGTGAAGTGGGTCGAGACCTCTGGAGGTCGACGTCATAAAAAAAATCATGACGTCGGGGGTCTGGGAGTAAGACAAAGATGCAGGCCCCTTGGACGCCCATGTCGGAGCTTTTCGAGCAGGTCAGGCCACCAAGGGTGATGAAAGATAGACCAGAAAGGCAAGAAAGCAAGGGTATCCTTGGGAAGGTTACTCATCCCTAACATCGATTTCGACTGTGGGAAGGACTGGTCGGGGAGCTTCGGAGGAGGAAGCACGGGCCTCGAGCCCGCAGACTGACTCCGCCACGCCAGGAAAAACTGCGGCGGTCCAGCTGCCGCTGCATCGGGGCGAGCGGTAGCCTGACAGTTGTTTGGACCTGCCCTGTGCTTTTTGCACCCGATGCTGGGCATGGGCAGCACGGGCCTGGCCAGGAGAGGCAGTCCGCGGGCCCAGAGCTCCAGACGCCCCCTCCCCCAGGGGCGGCCACGAGGGGAGCGTCCAAGAGAGGGGGGCGCGAATCATGGCCGGCGGCACGCGCGCGGCCCAGAGGGGGGGGCCAGGGACGCATTGAAGCAAGAGGCACCATGAAACCTGGGGAAATCACATGCCCCCCGCCATGATATCCACAGACCCATAGTCATCACCCGCCCCTTTTGCCGCCCCCGACTCCCCCAGGGGCAAACAATCGCTCTGGGACCCAACCCTCGCTGAGTCCCACGGGGGCGTGCCCCAAAAAGCCGACACAACGAAGAGGAGCGCAGGTCTGCGCAGCTGAGCTGCCGGCCTACAGACACCTCCTGGATAGGTCGGAGTAGACGGGTCGGAGGATGGCGCCGCATCGCCGATCCATCGGCGATGCATCGGCGATGTATCGGCGATGCATCGGCGATGCACCAGCGATGCATCGGCGACGTCGGCGCTGAATCGGTGACGTCGACGTGAAGCAAATCGGGCTCCGCATCGAGCCGCATCGGCGATGCATCGGCGATGCGGCGCGATCCTCCGACACCATCTACTCCGACCCCACCCAGGAGGCTTAGAGCCTCCAAAACCCGCCGCGGAAGATCCTCGACCGCGGACAGGTGGCGGCGTTCATGGACCCCCTCGCGCAGTGGAAAAAACACGACGGGATGTTTTAGCCTCCAAAGGCCCCTTACGGGGCCCCGGGAGAGTCAAACCCCAGAAGACAAGAGCGCGTAGCTAAATCGCGCCGCCCAAAACAAAATACAACGGTTTGTCGCCTACGCGTCCGTAACCAAATCACCCGACCCTGTCGGCGTGTGGGGCGTCTGTCCGGTCCCGTCGACGGGGGACCTTTTTCCGCCCCCTCCTTCCACCCTTCCTCGTTCGGGGAACGGGTTCGCCGCTTGAGAAAATCCCATCCACGTCCTCGTTACGTCAAAGGGAAGCCCCTTCCCTTTGTCCCTTACCCAGCGGAGGGGGGTCCAAGGAGGGAGGGGGGGTCAGATTCGCATCGCCTCTGGGAGTCCTCCTCGCCCACGCCGGTCCTTCTCCGGCGCGCCGGTCCTCCTCGGGTCCTCCTCCAGAGGGCCCAGGGGGGAGTCCTTTTCCTCCTCCTCCTCCTCCTCCTTTCCCTCCTCCTCCTTCTCCTCCTCCTCCTCATCTCCGCCTCCTCCTCCTCCTCCTCCTCCTTTTCCTCCTCCTCCTCCTCCTCCTCCTCGTCCTCCCTCCCTTCTCAATCCTCCTCGTGCTTGCGTGTGTTTTGTTGATGCTCCGATTCCGAATCAGATTCCTACTCCTCGTCCTGCTCCACCTGATACCCAGACCCCCGACATCATGATTCTGTTCATGACGTCGACCCCCTTCGGGCCGGACCCTTTCCCTGGGACCAGTTTCTCGTCCTGAATCGTTGTTTGACGGTCCTAAGGCCTGGTAAGGGCCCCCAGAGGCCGAAAATAGCAAGAAACCTTCTGTGATGACTTATGCATTGCTCGAGGAGGTCTGGGTACCGCTCTGTCTCCTCGTCCTCGTCCTCCTCCTCCTCCTCCTCCTCCTCCTCCTCCTCAGTCCTCGCCCCTCGTCGCTCGCTTTTTTCCCTCGTCGTTGTCCACGGTGCCCCTTCTGCCCCAGGGTCCCGCTGCTGCTCCCGTCCCCTCCGTCGCTTGTTATACCTCTCCGCGTGCTCATTTTCGCTGTCGTCGCCGCCGCCCTGCTCCGCCGCCCCCTTCTTGAGCCCAGTCGGGAATATCGAACATGCTCGGTTCGATGTGGTTACGAGTTGGCTACGGCTCAATTGCGATGTATGTCTTTGGGTTATGATTCAGTTAAGAACGCTGCAAACATGGTCACGATTTGGCGACGCAAGGATCTTCCCAGGAGGATTTTGGTTACGGAGGTGTTCAGTGCATCAAGATAGCTCACGTGTGTGGAAGGGTCGATCGTATCCATATTTCTGCGGGCTACGCGCGACGGTACCGCGCGCAACCACCTGATTTGGTTGCGTACACTGAGGAAAACAATTCAAGATGAGAAACTGGCCTCGGGGAAGGGGTCCAGACTCGGGGATGGAAAAACCTCCCTTTAGTAAAAAACGTGGCTTAGTGAAAACGACCTGGGGCCCAAACCTGGCGGGCGCAAGCCTGGAAAATCACGGCCGCGGCGCCCTCTCGAGAACCGAAAACGGACAATTCACCGCAGTGGGGGCGTTGACCTAAAGAACCCTACATAAGGAACGAGGCCCCTTCTTCCCATCACTCAAAGTTGGATGTGCCATCGAAAACCTGAGGAAAACCTGAGGCAAGCTGCGAAACCATCGGGGAACGCGGAGCCCCTCCCCAACGAAAAGGGCTCCTTCTGCAGGGCCCCGACTGTCATCGACGGGTCACTGTTGGGGGGCTCTGCCCACCCCCCCGACAGACCTCTGGGGGGCCGACGCTGCGAGAAAGCTCACGGCGCCCAGGGCCTGGGCCCCGCCTCGAGAGCTCCAAAACGCCACGTCCCGCCGGTGTTATACAGTCGGGGCGTTGACCTAAGGAACCCTAAATAAGGAACGAGGCCCATTTCTTCCATAAGTTAAACTTCGATGTCCCATCGAAAACATAAAGAAAACCTGAGGCAAGCTGCGAAACAATCGGGGAACGCGGAGCCCCTCCCCAACGAAAAGGGCTCCTTCTGCAGGGCCCTGGGACGCACAAATGAATACACACAAATAAAAAGGATTCCCCATATTGTTCCCTATTTTCTGGGTTTCTGCCCTCCCCCCACCTCCCATATCTTCCCATATTTTCTAGGGGAGTCGACGAGTAATTGTGTCTGTGTGTTTCTTCCCCTCCTGAAGAACGCCACTCCCGCCGGTGTTATGTATTCCTGCCGCCGCCTGGCTTAGACTTCTGCTCTGCCGATGCGCCGCCTATAAGCGCGGACACCTCCTGTTTGGACGCCCGAAATGGGCACGGAAAGGATGGGTACAATGCCCAACAGCAAATGTTGTCCCGAACCAGCAGCGGCAACAGCGGCCGCGGTTGGGCAGGCGGCCTCCTGTCTCAAATGGAGACAGGCCGCGGCGGCGCGGACAGCGAGTCCTGTTCAAAATGAACAGGAACTGCTGTTGGGCATTGTACCCATTCTTTCAGTACCCATTTCGTGCGTGCAGATCCTGGGGAAGCCAAAGAATACCGATAGCACTGCTCCGCGGACCCCTCCTGGGGCACGCCCTGGCAG